GGAGGACAGAGGAGAGAGGAGCACAGAGGAGAGAGGAGGACAGGGGAGAGAGGAGGACAGAGGGAGAGAGGAGGACAGACGGAGAGAGGAGGACAGGGGAGAGAGGAGCACAGGGGAGAGAGGAGCACAGGGGAGAGAGGAGGAGCAGACTGAGAGAACAAGCAGAGGGGCGCACTCACGTCTCCTTGGAAGGTGTGGAAATACGGTTGAGGGGTTGAGTATCTGAAGGGGCGATACAACTCCTGTTCCCACAGCTGCTTCCCTTTCTGATCAAAACAGAACACAGCACTGAGCACTGTACACAGCACAGCACTGAGCACTGTACACAGCGCACAACACAGCACTGAGCACTTCTACAACACACAACACAGCACTGAGCACTGCGCACAACAAAGTACTGAGTACTGTACACAACACACAACACAGCACAGTGAAGACTACAAATGGCATGCACTGAGCACTGTAGACAAAACAGCACAACACAATTAGCACTACACACAACATGGCACAGAGCACTGAACACTGTACATAGAAGCCTGAGCACTGAGCACAGTGTAGCACTGAGTATTGAGCTCAGAACTGTACAGGATGAATCGCAGAACACTGTGCACTGCAGCACCTGTTACTCTGCACAATACAGTGACGATCACGGACACAGGGAGCTGTGCCCAGCCCAGCCCGGCCCTGAGCACCCACACGGTCACTGGCAGAGTGAGAAAGCAAGGGAGAGGGTGAGAGAGGACAGGGCCAGACCCACAGACTGACCTTCACATTGTACAGGCGGAGGAAGAAGGAGCGCTGCCCACGGTCCTTGACCAGGCAGACCACCCCGCAGTGGACACAGCTCCAGTGGGCCCTGTCCTCGGGCAGCGCCAGCCACAGCTGGACCACTCCGGACGCCCGTACCTGCTGAGACACAGACACACAGACACTGGTCAGCGCAGCGCCTGCCCACACACAGACACACAGACACAGAGACACCGGTCAGCACAAACTGTCCACACACAGACACACGGGCAAGAGAGCAACATTACTGCTCAGTGCAAGCACTGTACCGCCGTGATCGGATCTCAAAAGCTAAGCAAGACTTGACCCGATCGGTGGTGGAGCTGGTGGGCTAGTAGGTGGCTCTTTCCCCTCTGAGCCAGTGTTGCTACATCGAGATATAGGGGACGCCGTTCTTGGGACGAGGTCTTGCCTCCCTGTGGACCCCACAGATGTCGTGAGCACTAACCCCAGTGTCCTGGCTGAGCTCCAGCCTGATGAAAGGAGCCTCTGTGTGCACGAGAGCACAGGGCCCGCAGACAGCAGCTGATTTGCGTATACATGAGCCAGGGCTCATCACACACGCTCTTCTGAAGCTCGCTGCTCCGGAGCGCCGTCCCCACTGCAGGGCGAGCTCCTGGTGACAGAGGCAGAACCACCAGCTGGGCCAGCTGGGCTCTGCTCACCCCGCAGTGCGAGTCACTGGATACATCGCGTGCTGGGAGAGGAAGCGACTGCGCGTCTTTCTTGAGCAACAGCGAGACAACAAGTCATCTCAAATAACAAATCATGAATATAGCGTCTTTCCTGTGCAAAACGCCCCAGAAGAGCAGCCCAGCCCGTTCACAGCAGTGCTCCACAGCCCTGAGGAGCGTCAGTCCCAATAAACCAATAAATCACACACGTGCTTGAAACTACAGCCAGCAGTTTGCCTCGCACCCTGACCTGCCTCTCCGTCCTTCGTCCTGAGTTCCCTGCTCTTGGATCCATTTTCCTCTGCTCTTACTGTGGTAAACCACAGCTGCCCTCCGAGCATGAGGGAGTCACGTCTCTGCACCGCCCTCCTCCGGCACCTCCTGCCCCCTGGGGCATCACCCTCTGACCCCCTGCCAGCTGGACGGTCCGTTGAGCCCTGCAGGACTGACCCCCTGGCCCGGAGCGTGTTTACAACTGACCGAGCACAGACTCCCGGCTCTGAGATCGGATGAGCGATTGTGCTCACGCTGCCTGCTCACCTCTGGCGCTCAAAAGCCATGAGGGGGTCACCCGTCTCTTAATGAGAATTAAATCCATCGTCGGCTGGACTGGGCGCGAGAGCTCGCCAGCGCCGGCGGCGGCAGGAAGGGAGAACGGAGAGCGGCCGGACTCACGGAGCAGCTGTGTCCGAGGAGAGAGGGGAGCAGCGCGTTCTCCCGCAGGGACAGGAGCTGGCTGAAGACCCTCACGTCCGCCCGGGGCTCCATGCTCGCAGACTGGATGGCGCAGCGGCAGCAGGTCCTCTCCCAGCCCGCCTCCGCATGCAAATTCCCCGTCCTCCGCAGCCCACAGCGCTGGCGACGCCCGAGCCGAGCCCCAGCAGCTTCCTCCTTCCTGAGCTTCCTCTTCTCCTCTCAGCCTCTGGCTGTTCCTCCCCGCTGTGATCAGTATTTCACTGGGTAAACCTCCTGCTTCTCCACCCCTGCCCCTCTGACAGGCTCAGCCAGCAGCTGAGTGAAATAAAAGCACCACAATGTTTTGGTTTTTTTTTAGGGGTTTTATTTCTGTAAAAGGAGCAGAAACAATAAAAATAAAACGGATCGTCTCTGAGGTGTGCCGGGGCTGGGCCCTGCCCGGCGCTGTGTGCTGGTGCTGCTGGGAGACTCATCTCGCCTCCTGGGGGGGGGCTCTGTAGATCGGGGTGTGGAGAGGGGGTACACGGGGGGGGGCGCAGGAGCCCCGTAGACACCCGCAGCCCCGCAGCCGAGAAGACAGACCAGCTCAGCCCACACACGGACAGGAGCTCAACTGTTACAAGCTCGTCCGCAGCCCAGAGCTCTCCGACTTCTGTCCTCTGTAATCCGGAGTCTTCTTGCTGCTGTGCCGACAGCCGCTGGCGCCCCCATCCTGGACTCCCCCCGACTGTTCCGCACAGTGCTGCGCCCCCCTCCTCTCTCCACCGCTCCCCCTTCTTCACTGGCTGTTACAGACGGTGTTGCCGCCCCCTCCGGCTGCCGCCTTTTTCCGGCGCTTGTTGAGCAGCGGGTTGCTGGAGGTGTCCAGGTCCTTGATCTTCACCTGGTCATAGTCCACCCGCATGGTGGCCAGGGCGCTGGTCATCTCCTCCTGGGGAGACAGGCAGCGGCAAGGTCAGCTGGCGGTTATATAGCTCCTTTCACTGCCAGGTCACCTTGGAACTGAGCTGCACACCCGCAGGGCCACAGTGCCAGCAGAACACGCAAAGCTCTCCCTTCTCTCCCTGGACCTTAAAGGCTACGGAGACCACGTTATCGCTGTCAAGTTTCACTATTAGCAAACACTGGGTGAAACTAAACAGCACCTCCTGATGCTGGACTGTGGGAGTTGATTACAGGGACAAAGCACATTCTCATCTCAGCACTCCTGTATTCCTGTGTCCGTGTGTTTTAGAGTCCCACCCGGACAAGGTGGCTGCCAGACAAATAGAAAAAATGAACAGAGGCAAGCTGGTAAGATCATGGCCCTCTAGTGGCTGTACTGTGAAACCGCAGGAGCTGAAACCCTCCTGACCTGCTGCCTTTTAAACTGGGAGTAGATCACAGGCCAGCAGCTCCGTTCACTCTGGATCCACAAGCCCTGCCTGAACCCCTACTTGGGCAGGAGCCCCGACTTCACCCCTTCAAACGCTGTCCACTGTGGTCCCGGGTGGTCACAGGCTCAGTGCAGGTTTGTCCAAAAGCCGCAATAAAGAAGGGTCCCTTAACCCTGCTGACCAAGCCCTTCAATGGAAACCCAACCTGATTCAGAAACACAAACCACCTGCAGTGCGAGAGGAACAGGAAGGAACACATCACTTCCTGCCCTCCAGACCCACCTTCACGTCGTCCCACATCTCCTTGTCCTCCATCAGCACGCGCGTGGTGTGCAACGGCGTGGGCGGCACCACCATGGATTGCTGGAAGACAGAGAGGCAGTCTGTTACACCTGCAGGGCACAGCCGCAGCACGCTCAGAACAGACAGCAGGGGGCGCCAGTC